ACGGCCTAATAGTCTGTAAGAATGTTCCTTGAAATGATTGTGTATATTTCTGTTCACGTGTTGTGGAGAAATATAGTACACTTTGCAAAGGAATTTGTTATTTCTATTTGTTCAAGGATTATTTATTTAGGACTTCCTGAGAAACAAACCTCGTAAGTATTTTATTTTATTAATTAAAGATTTCAGTGTCCTTTATGGATTTACTTAAATGGGAGATTCAGTGTTGAGAAACGGGATGAGTAACTAAGATTCCGCAGAAGCTAAGAATGAATTAACAAAAAAGATTAATTGTAGCTTCTGTAGAGTTAAGCTAATCTTGTAATATGACACATAATTGGGATTACATTTTCTTCCTTATCTTTTCTAAACCTGGAATTAGGATAATATTAGAAACATGTAATTACATTCTTAATGGTGTTTTTGAACAATCTTGTCATAATGTTCTTATGGAACTTTCCATGCCTGTTCAGAATTACAGTTCTCTCTATGTCAATGAACCTGCCAAAGTCATTTTAGAGAAAGACCACGAAGTCATCAATGAGTCTTTGGTGTCTGAGATTGATAGAATAATGATGAAGTATGTTAATCATCTGATGCATGCTTTGGATGGTGTCACTGCACGACTGTTGCAGTTGGAGACCAAGACTCGCAACCTTGAAAGTTTGATGGATGATCTGAAGTTTTCTGTTGGGGACAATCACAGAAGCACTGATGGAAAATTGAGACAGATGGAGAATATTGTCAGAGAGGTATCTTATTTGTGCCAGTTTACTTAGGACTATTTCAGAGATGCATGCTTTGTACCATCAACTTGATACATTGGAATATTATGTGCTTACAGTCCTTGTGACCAGGGTTTCCATTCACACTTTTTTTAACAAGATTTATCCTCGTGCAACCATTGTCTCCAGCTGCCTGAGACTCACAACCATGCATCAGATGATTAACATACATTTTTTAACAAGATTTATTCTTGTGCAACCATTGTCTACAGCTACCTGAGTTGGAACCTTAAAGGCCACGTTTGGCAATCCTAATTGGACTGTACTTGAAATTATGCATATAATTAGAGGAGATATTGTTAGTTAGATAGTATTATGGGCATATTAAGGCGGATGGTAT